ACAATAACTGAAATGAAGAATATATTAGAGGGAATAACAGTAAATTAGATGAAGTAGAGGATTGAACCAGCAATTTACAAGATAAGGTAGCGGAAAATGCCCAATCAGAATAGCAAAAAGAAAAAAGAATCCAAAATAAATGAGGGGAGTTTAAGGGGCCTCTGGAACAACATCAAGCATAACAACATTCGCATTATAGGAATACAAGAAGGAGAAGAGAGAGAACAAGGAGTTGGACACTTATTTGAAGAAATAATGACTGTAAACTCCCCTAACCTGGCAAAGGAAATAAATATACAAGCCCAAAAAGTGCAGAGAATCTCAAACAAGATGAACCCAAAGAGGGCCACACCAAGACACATCGTAATTAAAATGCTAAAGGTTTAGAGACAAAGAGAGAATTTTAAAAGCAGAAAGAGAAAAGCAGTTAATTACCTAGAAAGGAGTTCCCATAAGACTGTCAGATGATTTCTCAACAGAAACTTTGCAGGCAAGAAGGGAGTGGCATGAAATATTCAAAATGATGAAAAGCAACAACCTACAACCAAGATTACTCTATCCAGCAAGGCTATCATTTAGAATCAAAGGACAGATAAAGTTTCCCAGACAAGAAGAACCTAAAAGAGTTCATCAACACCAAACCAGTATTACAAGAAATGTTAAAGGGACTTCTTTAAGAAAAAAAAGAAAAAAAAAGATCAAAAATGTAAATAATAAAAGGACAATAACTACGTATCTATCAACAATTACTTTAAGGGCTGGCCGAGTGGCTCGTTGGTTAACAGTTGGCTTGGGACGCCAGCTCTGAGCAGCAGGGCCGCAGCTTTGGATCCCACATGGGCCAGTGATTCTGTGCCCTCTACAGCCAAGATGGTGAACAACAGCTCAACCTGGAGCTGGGCTGCCGTGAGTCACCAGCGACGTCGTAGGCTGCAGCCCCTGCTGCAGTGGGCTGCTGTAAGCTACCATGAGCAGCCGGCAGCTGTTGTGAGCTGCTGTGACCTGCTGTGAGCAGCCATCCAATGGCCAGCGACTGATCTGCCTCAACCAGGAAGAGCGCAACGATCATAATACCAACATGGGCCAGTGAAGCAACGTCCTCCACAACTAGACTGAAGAACAAAAGGACAGCCACTTGTCTGTTCCCCTCCCCCAATTCTCCAATAACATCTTTAAAAAAAAATTACTTTAAGTGTAAATGGATTAAATGCTCCAATCAAAAGACATAGGGTGGCTGAGTGCATAAGAAAACAACATCCTTATATATGCTGTGTACAAGAGATTCACTTCAGATCAAAAGACACACACAGGCTGAAACTAAAGGGATGGAAAAAGATATTTCATGAAAATGGAAAGAAGAAGAGAAGGAGAAGGATGAGAAGGAGGAAGGGAGAGCTTGTGTAGTAAGACTTATACCAGACAAAATGAACTTTAAAACAAAGGCTATAACAAGAGACAAAGAAGGACCCAGTAATTTTACTTCTGGGCATTTACCCGAAGAAACCAAAAAAACTAATGTGAAAAGACATGTACATCCATATGTTCATTGCAGCATTGTATACAGTGGCTAGGATGTGGAGGTGGCCTGAGTGTCCATCAGTGGATGAATGGATGGGGAGAGGTGATATATATATACAAAGTAATATTGCTCAGCCATGGGAAGGAATGGGGTCTTGCCATCTGCAGTGTCATGGATGGACCTGAAGGGTATTATGCTGGGTGGGGTGGGTTGGATGAAGAAGAATAGATACCATGTGATTTCACCTATATGTAAAATCTAAAAAACAAAATAAATGAACAAACAAAAGAGAAACAAACTCATAGATACAGGGAGCATTTTGATGGTTGCCATATGGGAGGGTGGGGGTTTGGGGGGGGGTGAAAAAGGGGAAGGGATTAAGAAGTACTGAATTGGTGGTGACAAAATAGTTATGGGAATGTAAAGTATTGAATAGGAAATATAGTCAATAATATTCTAATAACTATGTATGGTGTCAGATGGGTACTAGATTTATCAGGGGGATCAATTCATATGTAATATAAATGTCTAATTACTATGTTGTACACCTGAAACTAATAGTGTATGCCAACTGCAACTCAAAAATAAAAAATTATTTAACCAGGAGAGGGAACTGACTCTGGGTGGTAAATACACAATGCAATATATAGATGATGTATTATAGAATTGTACACTTGAAACCTATATAATTTTATTAACCAATGTCACCCCAATAAACTTAATAATAATTTTTTAAATAAATAAATAAATAAAATTTTCTAAGAGTAACAAATAAATAAGATCAGACATCAACCAAAACCAAAAACAAAAAAACTATTCATGGAGCCGGCTTTGGGCAACTTTCATGCCTGGTCTTTTTTCCTTCTGCTGCTGTGTCAGCTATGGCGGCCGTGAAGACCCTAAATCCCAAGGCCGAGGTGGCCCGGGCTCAGGCAGCATTGGCGGTCAACATCAGCGTGGCCCGGGGGCTTCAGGACGTGTTGCGGACCAACTTGGGGCCTAAGGGCACCATGAAGATGCTTGTTTCTGGTGCTGGAGACATCAAACTTACTAAAGATGGCAACGTGCTGCTTCATGAAATGCAAATTCAACACCCAACAGCCTCTCTAATAGCCAAAGTAGCAACAGCCCAGGATGACATAACTGGTGATGGTACCACTTCCAATGTCCTAATCATTGGAGAACTGCTGAAACAGGCGGATCTCTACATTTCTGAAGGTCTTCATCCCAGAATAATAACAGAAGGATTTGAAGCTGCAAAGGAAAAGGCACTTCAGTTTTTGGAACGAGTCAAAGTAAGCAAAGAGATGAACCAGGAAACACTCATAGATGTGGCCAGAATATCTCTACGTACTAAAGTTTATGCTGAACTTGCTGATGTCTTAACAGAGGCTGTAGTTGACTCCATTTTGGCCATTAAAAAACAAGATGAACCTACTGACCTCTTCATGGTTGAGATCATGGAAATGAAACATAAATCTGAAACTGACACAAGCTTAATTAGAGGTCTTGTTTTGGACCATGGGGCATGACATCCTGATATGAAAAAAAGAGTAGAAGATGCATATATCCTCACATGCAATGTATCATTAGAATACGAAAAAACAGAAGTGAATTCTGGCTTTTTTTACAAGAGTGCAGAAGAAAGAGAGAAACTTGTAAAAGCTGAAAGAAAATTCATTGAAGATAGAGTTAAAAAAATAATAGAACTGAAAAAGAAAGTCTGTGGTGACTCAGATAAAGGATTTGTTGTTATTAATCAAAAGGGAATTGACCCATTTTCCTTAGATGCTCTTGCAAAAGAAGGCATAGTAGCTCTACGCAGAGCTAAAAGGAGAAATATGGAAAGGCTGACTCTTGCTTGTGGTGGAGTAGCTCTGAATTCTTTTGATGACCTAATTCCAGATTGCTTGGGACATGCAGGTCTTGTCTATGAGTATACATTGGGAGAAGAGAAGTTCACCTTTATTGAGAAATGTAATAATCCTCGCTCTGTCACGTTATTGATCAAAGGACCAAATAAGCACACACTCACTCAAATCAAAGATGCAATAAGAGATGGCTTGAGGGCTGTTAAAAATGCTCTTGATGATGGCTGTGTAGTTCCAGGTGCTGGTGCAGTGGAAGTGGCGATGGCAGAAGCCCTGATTAAATACAAGCCCAGTGTAAAGGGCAGGGCTCAACTTGGAGTTCAAGCATTTGCTGATGCATTGCTCATTATTCCCAAGGTTCTTGCTCAGAATTCTGGTTTTGACCTTCAGGAAACACTGGTTAAAGTTCAAGCGGAACATTCAAATTCAGGTCAACTTGTGGGTGTGGACTTGAACACAGGTGAGCCAATGGTGGCAGCACAAGCAGGCATATGGGATAACTATTGTGTAAAGAAACAGCTTCTTCACTCCTGCACTGTGATTGCTACCAACATTCTCCTGGTAGATGAGATCATGCGAGCTGGAATGTCTTCTCTCAAAGGTTGAATTGAAACCTCCTTTGTATCATCGTGAAGAGTCTTAAGAGTGACCCTAAGAATCCAGCTGTGGAATTTTTGTCTAAGCTTCAAATAATTTTCAGAGGAATTTTCTTTTCCATGTGAAAAAAGGAGAGAACACTGGCGCCTATTCAAATTTCAAAGTCTGAAATTATAATTACAGCATTTTTTTTAATTGCACTCAGTGTACACACATAAAGCAGGCTGTTTTCATCCAGTAAACAGGATGTTTTGCTTTAGCTTCAGTGATAAAAATATATGTTAGAAAAGTATGTTACCTACCTTATTAAATATTCCTTGAAAAACAAAACAAAACAAAAACTATTCATAATTCATTACCAAATGTCACCAATGTTATCAAAAAACCAAAAGACAATAAAACACCCAGGTTTATAAATGTAAATACAAATTTAAATTTACCATATTGTGGATTATTAATTTTTGTATCCTTGCAAAGAAAGTATTCAGCAAATATTAAATTTTAATATGATATTTAACAGTTAACTTTGTAACTATTGTTGACAATCCATTATTCAGTAAAATAAAGGAAATTAGGCAATACGACCTCTAATGAGAAATAGTCAATAATACACTCAAAGTAACTTATTTTCCAATTCTTAGAAATATTCTTAGAACTTAAATAGTAGATGGAACCATGTTATTACATTTGTGTCAGGGCTTAGAGATAACAAATAAGTTAGACTAATGGTGTCTTATCACTTCTTTAATAGATTTAGCTATATTTCTGAAAAAGCCTTCTAATAAAGTGGTTCTATTATTATTTCAAATAAAAATTCATTTAATTAACATCTGAGCATCTTTAAGAAAATTAAGAAATCTTTTAATATGGAAAATAAGAAAATTTACATTTTCAGAAAAAATGTAAAACTTTAATGAGACTATGAAATGTGCCAAAACATTTCTATTGAAAAATTATTGAGGATTTTTCAAGTTACTTTAATGCTTAAGGGGTAACTAAAGTGTGCAAACTACCTGCATCATGAGTTTCAAGCGGTCAAAAGGTGCTGTGCATGTCCTTGCAACTGCACCCGCTATTCCTCCCACTACCAAACGCCTCCACCAATCTCCAGAACGCTTTTCTTGTTCAGTAAATTCATCTGGAATAGCTATACTCTCCCCTATGTCAATTATCTGATAAAGTGTAAAAAAAAGAATTAGACAATAAAGAAAAGTATAACACTTGATAAATTAAAAGCATAACTTTTTACAAAGACCAAAAACCTAAATTTTTTTTCATATCTTATCTCCTGTTAATGAAGATTGACAATTTTCTTAGCACTTGTACTAGCCCAAATGATTTTTAATAATGCATTCAGATATAGATTTAATGTAAAGTCAATTCACATTGATGAAAGAAACTGAAGAAGACACAAGCAAATAGAAAGATATGCCATTCTCATGGATTGGAAGAATTAATATTGTTAAAATGTCCATGCTACCCAAAGCCATTGATAGAGTCAATGCAATCCCTATCAAAATCCCAAAGGCATTTTTCACAAAAATTGAAAAAAAAAATCCTAAAGCGCACTTAAAACCCTGAATAGCCAAAGCAATCCTCAGACAGAAGAACAAAACTGGAGGCATCGCATATCCTGATTTCAAACTATATTATAAAGTTATAGTAATCAAAACAATATGGTACAGGCATAAAAACAGACACATTAACTAATGGAACAGAACCAAGAGCCCAGAAATAAACCCTCACATACACAATCAACTAATATTTGACAAGGGAGCCAAGAATACTCAATGGAAAACAATAGTCTCTTCAATAAATGGTGCTGGGGAACCTGGATAATCATATGCAGCAGAATGAAATTGGACCCCTATCTCACACCACTCACAAGAATTAACTTGAAGTAGATTAAAGACTTAAACATAAGATCTAAAACAGTAAAACTCCTAGAAGAGAACATAACGAAAAAGCTCCTTAACATTAGTCTTGGCAACGATTTTTTTATATATGACACCAAAAGCATAAGTAACAAAATCTAAAATTAATAAGTAGGACTATATCAAACTGAAAAGTTTCTGCACAGCAAAAGAAACATCAGGAATATGAAAAGGCAACCTATGAAATGGGAGAAAACATCTACATATCATATATCTGAGAAGGGGTTGTTGTCTAAAATATATAAAGAACTCAAATGAGTCAATAACAAAAAAACAAACAATCCAAAGAAAAACTGGGCAAAAGAACTAAATAGACATTTCTCCAAAGAAGACAGACAAATGTCCAACATGTATAGGAAAAGATGGTCCACATCACTAATCACTAGGGAACTGCAAATTAAAACCACAATGAGTTATCATATCACACCTGTTAGAACAGCTAATACCTAAAAAACAAGCGATAACAAGTATTGGCAAAGATAAGAAGAAAAGTGAACCCTAGTACACTCTTGGTGAGAATTTAAATTAGTATATTCACCGTGCAAATCAGTATGAGCTTCCTCAACATCTGTTATATATAAGAACTACTGTAGAACTATCATATGATCCATCAACTCCAATTCTTGGCATATAGCCAAGGAAATGAAATTTTGATCTCAAAGAGATACCTGTACCTCCATGTTCATTGCAGCATTATTCACAACAGCCAAGATATAAAAACAACCTAAGTATCTTTCTACAGATGAACAAATAAAGAAGATGTGGTAGATAAATTAGATAGGTACATACATACACATACACATACACATACACATATACATATACATATACATATACATATACATATACATACTCATACATATACATATTCAGCCATGAGAAAGAAGGAAATCCTGCCATTTGCAACAACGTGGATGGACCTCAAGGGTATTATGCTAAGTGAGATAAGTCAGACAGAGAACAACAAATACTATATGACATTACTTATATGTAGAATCTAAAAAAAGCTAAATTCGGGCCAGCCGAGTGGCTCAGTTGGTTAAGAGCTTGCTCAAGAGTGTGAGCTCTGAGCAACAGCGGTTCGATTCCTGGCCCAAGCTGAGCAGCCGCTGAGCTGCCAACAGGTGGCAGGATGGCTCAGCTAAAAAATAAAAATTTTTTAAAAAAATTAAAAAGCCAAATTCATAGAAATAGAGTAGAATGGTGGTTTCAGGGGTTAGGGGTGGGGAAAATGGGTAGATGTTGGTCAAAGAGAACAAACTTTCAGTTATGAGATGAATAAGTTCAGGGGATCTCATGTACAGCATGGTGATTACAGTTAACTACTGTATTATATACTTGAAATTTGCTAAGAAAGTAATAAATATTCTTACCACAAAATGAAATAGGAATTATGTGAAGTGATAGAGGTGCTAACTAACCCTACTGTGGTAATCATTCACAATATCTAAGTGTATCAAATATCATATTGAACACCTTAACTTACACAATGTCATATGTCAATTACATCTCAACAAATCTGCAAAAACTAGACAAAAATATAAACAGACAACTCATAGAAAAGAACACGTGAACATCTAGTATTTCTATGAAGAGATGTTTAAAATGCACTAGGAATCAATAAAATGTACATTAAACCAACAAGATACCATTTTATGCCCAACAGAATGTCAAATATTAGAAAATTGGATAATACCAAGTAAAAATAATATATAGAGAAACAGGAGCCTTCATGCATTGCTGGTAGAAGTAAACTGGTATAGCCAGCCATTCTAGGAAATAACGTAACTATATGGTATTTCATAAAATTAAGACTGGATACCCTAGTAAGATTTACAAATGCATATTCCTTTTGACTCAGAAATCCAGGCAACATTTTTTAAGGTACATAAGAGAAAAGTGTTTTTGTGGGTGGAGAGTTGGAGAAAACCTAGATATCTATTGGCAGGGGAATGCATAAGGAAGGTGTGTTAAGTGTATATATATAGTAGTTAGAAGCAATAAACTAGATGAATGCATAACAACAAGGACAAATCTTAAAATCATAATGTTGAGTGAACAACACAAGATATCAAATGTGGCCTTCAGCACAATACTATCTGTGTAAATTTAAAACACACACATGAAACAATACTGTATGATTCCTAAGAATATATACATATTCAAGAACACAGATGAGGGCCGGCTGAGTGGCTCAATTGGTTAAGAGTTGGCTTAAGAACACAAGCTCTGAGCAACAGGGAAGCCGGTTCGATTCCCACATGGGCCAGTGACACTGCGCCCGAGCTGAGCTGTCGCTGAGCTGCCAACAGGTGGCAGGATGGCTCAGCTAGTGTAACAACAAGATTGCCTGTTTGATGGTAGGCTACGCCCACCTGCAACTAAGACTGAACTTGGCACCTTGAGCTGAGCTGCTGCCCAGATGGCTCAGTGGATAGAGTGTGTGCTCTTAACAACAAGGCTGCTGGTTCTACTCCCACGTGGGATGGTGGCTATGCCCACCCACAACTAAGATTGAACACAGCACCTTAAGCTTGGAGGCCACGAGCTGCTGACGGGAAACCAGATGGCAACTGGCACCCTCCACAACAAAGAATGAGAACAACAACTTGGGTGGTCCCCTTTCTCCAATTCCCCAACACTGTTCCCCTCCCCCAATTCCCCAATAAAATCTTTAAAAAAAAAATTACACAGAAGAAACATTAGAATAAGTGCCTATCATAATAAGTAACATTTATTGAACACATATGTAACCTGCTCAGCCCTTTTCTAAATACACTATATAATAATTAAATTATCAAAACTCTTAGGATTATCATCCCCAGTAAATAATTGAGAACATTGAGGCACAGAGGAGTTATATAGCTAGTGGGTGGCAGATGTGGGATTCAAACCTAGGCAATCTGACTCCAGAGCCTATGCTCTGAATCTTCCCCTATATTATCTATAAAAAGGAGGCAAGGAGTCATGAGGATAGATGCAAACAGTATACCATGAACAAATGATTAACTTAACCCCTGCATCAGCAATCTAAAAAAGAAAAAAAAGTTCCTAATTACAAAATCTCATTTGTTCCTCATAATTCGTAAGTCAATAAAAGAGGGGGTAGATTACATAGTTCATCCTTTCTGATTCTAAAATTTTGAATCTTAATTTTTGACTTTCCTATGACAGAAGGAGCACATCATATATTTGAAAAAAGAAAAGTACATTATTTTTCTACTTTTCTAGGACAGTGAATTATATCAGTTATTTATTCTCCACACAAACTAGACCCTTTCCACAGATGGGTATCTATTTTAAGTTCTAGGTTTTAGCAAAGTAATTGTGGTAGCTGTGTTTGTATATACAATACTAACACTCCTTGCTAAATTAGTAGAATAGTATCTAGGAGAGACTACTACTACTTTAGCCACTGAGGCTAGAAGTATTATAAGGATTATGTGATCATAATACTAACTATAAAATTTATGGCAACATAAAATAGAGTAAAATAGGGGTGGCCAGTTAGCTCAGGTGGTTAGAGCACAGGCTTATAAACACCAAGGTTGCCAATTCGATCCCCACATGGGCCAAGGAGCTGTGCCCTCCATAACTAGATTGAAGACAACTACTTGACTTGGGGCTGATGGGTCCTGGAAAAACACACTGTTCTGCAATAAAAATAAAAATAAATAGAGTAAAAGACAAAGTAATCTTACAGTATAACGCTTCCAGAAACCAGCAATATCTTCAATGCTTCTTGCAGGATGAAGGAAAAAGTAGTATTTCCATTCATCCCAGTCTATTGTCATCGTTCCATCAGTATCAATGCTGAAAGTAAAAAAAAAAAGTGCTTATAACATTTATAATGAAGTTAGCACCATTATAAAAATTTATTAAATGTTTCTTACATATTTATTGTAGAATCCACTCCTTTGGGCTTCATGTATATTGCTTTATTTTCATATTTTAATAGACTTTATTTTTTAGAAAAATTGAGAATACAGAGTTCCCATATATCCCCACACCCAATTTTCCCTAATGGTAATATCTTACATTATTATGGTACATTTGTTACAATTAATGAACCAATATTGATACAGTATTATTAACTAAAGTTCATACTTTATTCAGGGTTCCTTAGCTTTCAACTAAAGTCATTTTGTTGTTTTAGGATCCCATCTGAGATATCACATTCCAATTAATCATGATGTCTCCTTAGGTTCCTCTCAGCTATGACAATTTCTCAGACTTTCCTTGTTTTTTATAACTTTGACAGTTTTGAGGAGTACTGATCGGATATTTTGTGGAATGCCCCTCTAATGAAATTTATTTTGTATTGCTTTTTAATTATTTACTTGTATGTTTTTCTCTCATGCTTGCCTATGATCTTTAATAAGGAAAACCATAAATCACGTTTATATCTCATGCACTGAGCACTCAATGTTTGTTGAATGAATGAATGAAACTGACTGAAGAGTAACCTTATACCTTTTGAGTCCTAATAGTATTTTTCCCTCTGACCCTTTTCTCCTTACTTATAGTTTTTAAATCAACTTTTAATTTAAAGAGAAGACTCATTTTCCACCATGCAAAATTCAGGATTTACTCAACTTTTAAGGAACTCGAATCATAAAATAATCAGATGTTTCTCTAAAGTCTGAGAAAGGGTGAAATTAAGTGAAATGCTTTTTCAATTGCATTTTTCTACATGGAAATTCTAAAAATCAATTCCATTCTGCCAACAAGATCAGTACAATTTCCAGTTCCAGCTAAAACAAAATAATGGGTGTAGAATTTATCCTCCCACTATAAACAATTATGAAATTGAACACAATATATGATGCAATTGTTTTCAGGCATGGAGTACAAGCAGGATGTGGTAATGACAATTAAGGGAGGGGAAACACAAGAGTTGAGCTCCCCATTCACTCTGGTTCTTGTCTGGGAACATTTTTCCAAACTGTAGCACAGAGAAGTAGGAGCCTAAACAGACAGCAAGTCTCGTAGATAGAATAAACAGAGATTGGAGCTGAGGGCTGCTGAGGGGGCAGGAATGTGCACAGCAAAATTTGCAGGGTTCTCCAGAATCTACATATGTTATCTCTTTGCATCTTTGGCCAAATACTAATCTATGCATGACTCCATTAGTCTGACAAAAGTAGTTACTTGAGGGCTGTGAGCTTAATGGAAATTCTGTAGCTGAGCAATGTTGGAATAAAAGGAAGGGAAGGAGGGACAGAGGGAAGGAGGGAAGGAGGGACTGAGGGAAGAGCTACATTTATAGCAATGAGTTTCTAAATAAAAATGAAAACCATTAAAAATAAAGATAAGGGCTGACCTTTGTAGAATATTTTTTGCCTGAGCTTCAGAAATATTCATACCCAGTGATTTCAAAGCATCAATTATTTCTGAAGTGTCTATTACTCCTTTAAAAAGTGAAAAAAAAGTCAAGTTAAAGTATCTGAAAAGATAACAAAGCAAAATATACTAGAACACAATAATCTTATAAAACCCATGCATTTTATAGGCCTATAATCCCATATTCACAACCCAAAGACTAAAAAGCTTTAAAAACTAAAAATTGTTTTATAAATTTTTCACCAAAATTCATTTGGTGGTAAAACCTGCCTTAAATTGATGTGAGGTTTATTTTATTTAATTATTTGTCTAATTTAGTGTTATTATTCATTTGTTTCACTGTTGGCCCTTGAACAACATGGGTTTGAACTGCACAGGTTTACTTATACAGATTTTTTTCAATAAACACAAGAGGGGTTTCGTGTCCCCGGATTTCGCATCTGTGGATTTCATTTCCCTAGGTTCAACCAATCCTTTATTGAACCCGATATTTTCACACTCCCAACTTCAGTTACCCAAACGCGATTAAAAATACTGTTTTCAATCCACAGTTGGTTGAATCCGTGGATGTGAAGGGCCGACTATAGTTAACTTTTGGGGAACTCAAAAGCTATACTCAGATTTTTAATTGTACAAGGGTTAGCTTCCCTAATGCCCCTGTTGTTCAAGGGTCAACTGTATATAGTTGCACAATGGTACTTCAGGCTCCACTTGGAGCATTACATAATATATCATATATGCACTGTATTGCATTTCTAAAATACAAATTCTAAATTTCTAAACATATATGGCCCCGAGGGTTTCCAATAAGAGTCTGTAGATCTATAACAGATCTTGATTATTGTACCTACTTGGAAAGAATTAAAAAGTTAATTCTGAATATATGATTCAGTGGCATGAAAATAAGACCACTCAACATTTTATAAGGAAAGTTTTTTTAAAAAAAACAACATACTTAAAATATAATACAACACCAAACTCCTTTTAACATAACCATATCCTATGTAAAATAACTCAAATCAAACAATATATGAGGTCTGACAATTAAGCTCGTGAACTCATCCTAGAAAAAGTGCTACATACCTCATTGCTGAATATCACTACGGTCACCTTCAAAGTACTCCCCTTGGGAAGCTATGCAATGACACCAGCACCTAGTCCATCCTTCAAAGCAATTTTGAAACTCTTTTTGTGTAATGGCCATCAGAGCTGTCGTCATACTACCCTTGATGTCCTGAACGTCATCAAAATGCCTTCCTTTCAACATTTCCTTTATCTTTGGGTAAAGAAAGAAGTCATCAGGGGCCAGATCAGGTAAGTAGGGAGGGTGTTCCAATACAGTTATTTGTTTACTGGCTAAAAACTCCCTCACAGAGAGTGCTGTGTGAGCTGGTGCATTGTCGTGATGCAAGAGCCATGAATTGTGGGCAAAAACTTTAGGTCATTTTCATCTACCTTTTTCATGCAGCCTTTTCAGCACTTCCAAATAGTAAACTTGGTTAACTGTTTGTCCAGTTGGTACAAATTCATAATGAATGATCCCTCTGATATCAAAAAATGTTAGCAACATCGTTTTGACTCTTGATTTAGACAGAAATTTTTTGGTTGTGGAAAATTGGCTGACTTCCATTGTGCACTTTGACGCTTTGTTTCAGGGTCATATTGGTATACCCGTGTTTCATCACCAGGGATAGATAACAGGGCCCAAAACATCATCTTGCCTTTCCAAAAGGTCTTGGCAAACTTCGACTCTCCTTTGCTTTTGTTCATCAGTGAGCTCCTTCGGGACCATTTTCGCACACACCTTTCTCATGCCAAGATTTTCAGTTAAAATTTTCCTAACTGACTCTCTATTGATGTTTACTTGGTCTGCTATGCTTCTCACAGTCAGCCGATGATTTTGACAGACAATTCAATGAATTTTTGCAATGTTTTCATCAATTCTGCTTGTTACTGGCCTTCCTGATCTCTCTTCACCAATAACACGTTCTCCCCCTAGGAAAAACATTTAATCCATTTATTTGTACACTGCCGTTTTCTTCATGGCATTATTCCCACAAACTTGGACTAACATGTCACTGATTTCACTTCCACTCTTGCCAAGTTTAACAAGAAATTTAATGTCTGTTGCTCTAATTCAAGCTCAGACATTCTCACAAAGGCACACAAAAACACTCAACAACAATAATGAATGCCACTCAGCAAGACACTGCCACACATCGACACAAACACAGCTGTGAGACACTGATATACCAAGGTTATGAAACCTTACGGAGCTGTTTGTACAGTGCTGCTACTATAAGTGCATGGTGACAAGTTCACGAACTTAATTGTCACACCTTGTATTTAATACAAGCATTATTAAGCTTTTCAACCTCACATTGCTGAATGTTGTAAAGGGAAATTAAGTATTCCATATTCTCCTTAAACTCTAAATCATGTCACTCCCCAAGTTCAAACTATCTTTGATTCCTCCCTTATGTCAAGCAAATAGTTGAGGATACCCTATCTTTTAAAATGTAAGGAAAACTTCTTTATGTTTAATTAAAAAATCAACTTTAGTGTCACCCAGTTGAAAAACATGTCAAAAGCTATTATAAATTCAGTCATATCTTTAATTTGTTTTGGGGTGGTTTTTTTTTTTAGATTTTATTGGGGAATTGGGGAAGGGGAACAGTGTTGGGGAATTGGGGAAGGGAAACAGTCAAGTTGTTGTCCTTCAATCTTAGCTGTGGAGGATGCAGCAAGCTCAGCTCCAAGTCTAGTCACCATCTGGCTGTCCGTCGGCAGGTTGAGGCCACTCAGCTCAAGGTACCGTATTCAATCTCAGTTGCGGGTGGGTGGCCCACCATCCCATGCGGGAGTTGAACTGGCAACCTTGTTAGGAGCACGTGCTCTCACAAGCTGAGCCATCCTGCCATCTGTTGACAGCTCAGCAACAGCTCAGCTTGGGCGCAGCTCACTGGCCCATGTGGGAATCAAACTGGCGACCCTGTTGCTCAGAGCTCGCACTCTTAACCAACTGAGCCACTCGGCCGACCCCTTTAATTTGTATTTTATGAACCATAGCTGCATCTGCATACATTTATAAATAGTACATGTATTATGAGACATATTTATTTAGCAATTGACAACGTCCAGTATTCATATATAGAATCTCAAATACTTTGCAATGACTCCAAGGCCCCTACTGTTCCAAGCTCCATGGGGTGGAATTTACTGATCTGTTCCTCAGCCTAGAAATCAAATTTTTCTTCAATTGGGGAAGCTGGATTCTCTGCGTTATATCCCATTATAATCTTCAATCACTATACTCATCAATTCAATAATTTAAACAATTTTTTTCAAAGTCTACTATTCAAACCACTATGCTAAATGATAAGAGAGAAGCCAAAGATTAATAAAACAACACTCCCCCAAGGAGTTTACCAGTTTGTATGAATGTACTAGCTATTTTAAAAATATGCCATGCTGTGCTAAATGTATATTTTAGAAGAGCTGTGACTAAGGTGCAATGGAAGGATAAATAAAGGTATGAAAAACAAGGGTCAGAATAATAAAAAAAATTTTTAAAAAAAGAAAAACAAGGGTCACAAATGAAGTACTATAAAGGATACCCAAGAGACCACAAAAGAAACAAAAGCATTTCAACAAAGGCATGATATGAGTAAGATATACTTATTTTAAAAAGATTGACTGAGAACTTACATATAGTATTAGAAAGCAGGATAGTGGCTGCTTTGGAGGGTGGTAGTGATTAAAGGGGATACAAAAAGGATGCTTCTGAGACACTAGTGATATTCTGTTTCTTAATCTGATGCCGTTTCTACATTGTATATCTATCTATCTTGGGAAAATTCATGGAGCTTTTACTTATAATTTATGTACTTTGTTATACATGGTATATATCAATGAAATCTTCACCCCAAAAATCATTAAGTTAGGGCTTAACGTGAAATGTCATATTAACCAGCTTTGACCTTGTCTGGCAATTTCCCAATGTCTGGAAATTTTCCCAATTTCCCAATTTGTTCAAGCTATTCTCTCTGCTCAAGAACCCTATCTTTTCAATTCTGTTTATATATTGACCCAGTATAAATCTAAATTGCCCCTGGGCACAGTTAAGCTCTCCCTATATCACTTTTATAGCAATTATCATAGTCTATCTCGTGTACGGCTATGTATGTTTATTCTCACTTCACCCAAAATGTATGCTTCTGAAGACTTTTGTTAACACAGTTCCCAGTGCATTGCTCACATTCAGTGCTCAAAAACTGTTTGCTTCATTGAACTGAAACATATTAAGTAGTCCTTACCCTAAAGAAGTTAAAAACTCAAGCTGAGATGTGGGAAAAAATTAGATAAATAAGATCCAGAAAATAATCAAGGCCTATGGACTGAAAGGAAGATTCAATGTTGTCTTTAATTATATGCAGCAAGCTTTGATTGAGATGGACTTGAAATGGATTCAATGGAATAGTAGTAGTTAGATGGATGGACAGTAACCATTAATCCAGCACTGTAATCCCAAGGAGAAATACAAATATTTCATTCCTGTAATGTGATTTATTGCTAAGTGACAAGCCATCCCAAAATTTAGTGGTTTAAAAAGAATGTATTTGATCATGAGTATGCAATCTGAGCTTCGTTCAACTCCATTCTTCTGCTAGTCTTGTCTTGGGTCACTCACGTGAACTCAATTATACCAAGGTGTGACTCAGCTGGAAATCCAAGATGGCTTCACTCACACTTCTGTCACCTCTGATGGGAATTTGGTTCAGTTGGGACTAAATGGGCATCTCTCTACATGTGGTCTTTCCAGCTGAGTCCTCTTCTCTGGTGGCTCAGAGTGCTCAAGAGGGAATATTCCAATGGACAAGCCCCAGGGGAGGCCAGTCAGCTCAGTTGATTAGAGTGCAGTGCTAACAACACCAAGATTGCTGGTTCGATCCCCATGTGGGCCACTGAGCTGCGCCCTCCGCAGCTAGATGCAACAACTACTCGACTTGGAGCTGATGGGTCCTTGAAAAACACAGTTCCCCAGCTAAAAAAAAAAAAAAAAATACAAGCCCCAATGTGGGATTACTTGACAAGTCTTGCTAATATCCTACTGGCCAAAGCAGGTCCAATGGCCTGCCCAGGTCAGTGTGGCTGGGTCATGAATCCTGGGAGATGTGGCTTACTGAGATAGTCACTATAAAGCAAAATCAGTTAATCTGCCTTAGTATTCTCATCTGTAAAATGTAGCTGCTGTGAATTTTGTGTGAGATAAAAATAAGATACAGAAGACAAAGCAGTAGAACAGACATGGCAGACAGGAAGAGTCCAATAAATGTTTGTTCTTTTCCTACCATTTCCTCAAAATCCAAAAACCCATCCCAAAATCTTAATGGTGAAATTATGTTTAGCAATTAGTTCATTCACATATTTATAACTGCATTCTGTGGACATTTTGGCTGAACAGGAGCAGGGGCTCAGATACTTCTTGGTGGGAGAAGTTAAAAGTATCAGCTCACAGTGGGGCTTGAATGCTTCCAGCTAGTGAGCTGGGTAGCACCCCAGCCCCTATGCATCCTCTCGATTCCATTGATTTGCATAAGGCCTGGAAAGCTTCGTGGAGGACTGAAAGGGAGTGGTGAAAATGGAATCCTGGCTAGTATTAGTGTTTAACACATATAAATGTGTGATGAAATGGGGGAGTCCCAACAGGAACAATGATAACAAGGAAGACAAGAGGGGGAAATGTCTGATGTAGTAAGCCAGGTCCTGTAATAGGATTTGGGGGAAAATGTTGGCTGCAGGGTCAATGATGTAAACCTGATACTCAAAATTATCCTATCCCAGCCAACTGGACACATCTGTACACTCTGGGAGAAAGTGGCTGCATGTTCATATGAATTGAAAAAGCTGTACTTTGAGGCCCCAAATATTCTGGTATCAGACTCCTTCTGATGAAGTCTGACAAGAGAGAAGAGTACATTCATTTCCTAGGACTGCTATAACAAAGTACAGCAGCCCTAGGTAGCTGCTGTACTTTCCTGATTCCATCATCAAATGGCCACTTCACATCACCTTCCTCTGTGCGTGTCTATCTCTGTGTCCAAATTTCCTCTTTATGTGGCATATCTTAATGATCTCATTTTAACTTGACTACTTTTGTCAAAACCTATTTCCAAATAAGATCACAGTCTGAGTTGCTGGGGACTAGGACGTCAACTTATCTTTTGGGGAAGAGGGGGGACACAATTCAACTCATAACAAAAAAAGTATTCTCTATCTCACCCACAAAACCATCCTGGCCGAGCTAATTGGGTGAGCTCTAAACACAGGTGGCCACAGAGGTAGCAGCAGTGATGACACAGACAGGAGGCAGCTCAGTCAGAGCAGCATCTCGTCAGGGCTGCTGGAGCCTGAGCTCTGCAGTCCAGGTGGGCAGCAGCCCTGATGGCAACAGCAGAGCCACCTACTGTCACAGCTCAGGTGCTTACAACAAGTGAAGCCCATGGGAATTTGGACAGCAGCTCTACCTACCATGGTACCTCTGCAGGGCTTTGGGGACTAAGCCGTGACATCCAATTTGACTAGTCAAGGCAGAAATTAAAAGATCTGTATTGCCAATCACTGTATTACTTTGGGACTTCCATCTTGCCTCAAAAAAAATATTCTCTGCTACAACCATGGATTTGCAACTTTACCAAGGACAATAGTAGTATTTTATTTTTACTAATGGCATTCTAATCTCATGAATTATCTGATGTAGTGGATTATTAGTTTACAAATGATGATCCTGGTGGTAACCATCAACAACAGAGTGAAATTCCAGAGCAGCACAACAGCAGAACTATGGATCCTAGATCAGCAGCAAATGATGGCCAAGTCTAATTTAGTAAGCAGTACTTCTAAAGCTCCTGGGCGTTATTTCAGTAGGAGGGCCCAAGAAGGCCTAAACTTCCTTTTGGAAATTGAATGGAAGCTTGGAGCACGATTTGGGTATTAAAGGAAATGTAACCACTTTTGTGCTCACAGGTCACTAAAGCCTGTGACAATCAGGTTACATTTTGTTTTACCCAAGAATCCACCAGTAAAATCCTTTAAATTGCTTTTCTATTGTAGTACACTTAGAATTTTTCAATTAACAAAAATTAGATTTCACAAATCTTAAAAATTAACATATATGTTTCTTAAATAGGGTATAATTAGGTTCTAATTACCATGGTGGATTAGCCACATATGGATGCAGTAGTATTCTACTTTTCCATTTAGTTTCTCTGATTTAAGGGTTTGTAGCAAAGTATAATAGAGTATACCCTTCCTCTGCAAATCAGCATGGATATTGATCACAGCACTATACATAAGAGTAAAAAACTGGAAACATCCTGTCTAATAATATGGGAATGATTAGGTAAGTCTACTGACATATTTTAGTCATTAAAAATTGTGAATGGGCCGGCCGAGTGGCGCGATGGTTAAGAACTGGCTTGGGACGCCAGAGGGCCCGGTTCGGATCCCACATATGAGGGCCAGTGACACTGCCCTCTGCAGCTAAGATGCTGAACAACAGCTCAACCTGGAGCTGGGCTGCTGTGAGT